CTTTATACCATAAATTACAACCGTAGGAAACTATTACGGATAATAAATTGCAACCTTAAAAGAAAATCATAAAGTCAACTCAAAAGTCAACCCTGGGCCCGCGTCACGGAACCCGACCAAAGTTATAAAATTCGAGCACCCATTCAATATCAAGTCCAACCATACTAAAATTATTCAATTCCGACCTCAAATCGACTTTCAAAACTTCAAATTATAGCTTAGGAAGTTTTCACAAATTTTCTCAAACTTTCCAACTCAAAACATTAATTAGATGATAAAAATAATGATGGATTCATGTATAATAATTAAATCCGAGTTAAAATCACTTACACTGATCAACTCTTCGAAAATCTCTCTTAAAATCACCGAAAACCGAGGTCTCTAACTAAAAAGATAAAAAATGGGATCAAACCCTCAATCTTCCCCTTTTCAGCCCAGTGGTTCTGCTTCTGTGGACAGATGGCAGATGTGGCTTCCACTTAGGTCAGGTCCAAGCACTTCTGCGGACCATGGAGTGCTTCTGCGGAAAGGGGCCACTTCTGCGGAGGAAGGAAGGCATCTCCGGTCATAGCTCACCTGGGCCAAAATAGCTTCAGCGGCTCACAGGGCGCATCTGCGGCCCAAAATGCACAGGTGCGATTGCACCATATCCTCAGTTGGGCAAAATTCCTTTCAAGTCTCAATTGGTTCCGGATTCAATCTGAATCACATCCGAGGCTCCCAAGACCCCGTCCAAATATACCATCAAGTCCCAAAACACATAACGAATCTACTCGCATCAAACAAAATCGAATCAACGAATCGCAACCCAATTCAAACCTATTGAATACATGAACATTCAATTTTCAAAACTAACGCTGATTCATACCAACCCAACTCCAATTAACCTCAAATTTTGCACACAAGTCATAAATGATACTACAGAGCTATTCCAACTTCCGGAATTGGAATCCGATCCCCATATCAATAAAGTCAACTCTTGATCAAACTCTTCAACCTTTCAAATCTTCAACTTTCTAACTTTTACCGTTTCAAGCCATTTGGGAACCGTCAAACTCCATTCCAGAGTCGTCTACACAAAAGTCAAACTCCGGTCAACTTTTTTAACTTAAGCCTTCAACTTCGGGACTAAGTGTCCCAATTTACTCCGAACTTATCCGAAACCAAACCAACCACCCCGGCAAGTCACCTAGCCATAATACAATATAGAGGATGCAATAAATAGGGGAACGGGGTTAAAATACTCAAAACAATTGGCCGAGTCGTTACATATACATACTCGTATATATCATAAAACTAATGTATTGACAAAACGATGGAGGCATAAACATTACTTCGCATGATTATCTTACCACATTTTTACTTGATTAAATGCGATAACGATAACTAATTGTAATGTGTGTTAATACTAATCAAATAGATAAATATTCCTTAATATATTAGAATAATTATTGTTCAATTAAGTCAACAAACAGATACTTTGTATCACTATCTCATTAAAACAAGAAACAAATATGATTCTCTGCATGAAATTGATTAACCAGAAATCCAGAAATATGATTTATAACCAATGTGAAGTGTAAGTGCAGGTTTCAATTATTTTTAATAATTACTGTTTAAATTTTTTCCTTATATATACATGTGTTGTGAGTAATATTTCCTCACTACTCAGTACTTCTCTTCTTAACAGTTTCATAAGTTATTTTTGTTGTTAATTTTTTTAGCTATGGCTAGCTCTTCCATTTCTTTCACAAACGATATCAATAAAAAAAGTAAAAAGCAAAGAAAAGAAAAGAAAAGAAAGACCAGGGAAGAAACATCAAGGGTTAATTCACGAAATTAAATCTTGATTCTAGTAGGACTTTTGGTCTGGTTTGAGGTTTTACTGTAAATATTAGCTATTGTCTGTACATTTATGGTGATTAATCAAAAAAGTTTAGTTAGGAAAAAAAAAAGAATCTTGATTTGGCAAAAAAAAAAAAGGAAAAAGAAAAAGAGAAATCTTGAAAAAAAAAAGAAATTTAAGGACTATTCGAGTCTACTCGAAAATGACACACAACAGTGCGAGTTTATATACAAAAATTGTAAAAGTGAAAAAACAGATGAAAATAGAAAGAAAAAAAAGAAGAAGCCAGAAGTGAACAAATCAGTGAAAATAGGTTAAGGAATGACCTTAACCAATCATAATACTCTACTGTCACCGTTAGGAACTGTTAAATAATGTGACATTCTCATTTAATTTTTTTTTTAGTTATTAGAGAGGGCAAATTTTCATATTTAATTTTGTCTTCGTTTGATTGTTTTAATGATTTGACATGTATTATAATCTACCAATCATTATATTTTTGGTTATGCATGCAGACTGTTGATGTGCCGTGCCGTACAAATACGGCACTTTTGACACAAATTACATAGAGTTTAGCTCATCTTTTATAGGATTATAAATTATTTCTTATGTAGTTTTGGCGAACATGATAAAAACCTATGAAAGGTAGAAATGCGATAGGTCTGCGGCCGCAAAAGTAATGTGCAGGCCGCAGAATTATCGCAGAACGAAATAGAAAAACTCACTTTCTGAGAGCCAAGTCTGCGATCCATTATGCGGTCACATAACATTTGTGCGGACCGCATATTTATCGTATAATTGTAAAAGAAGTCCACTGAAGATGACTATGCGGTCGCAAAAATGATATGCTGACCGCATAACCAAAATGCGAAGGAAAAACTGGAAGTTTGTGTGATCAACTCTACGGTGGAACTGAAGATATGCGAATCGCGAAAGCCTTCTGCGACCCATTCTAAGGTCGCAGACTTGATCTGCGGGGTCATTTTTGTCAGTTTTTGACCTGGGCTTTTAGACCATTATAAATAGAATGATTAGGGTTTTTGTGCAGTATCTTGTCTGGCGGAAAGAGGCTACACTTGGAGCATTCAATGCACCATTATTTTTTATGTTTTTAAGATAGAATCCAAGATTTTCTCTATATTTGTAAGCTTCATGACTTTATTCATTACAGTGTTCTTAAAAATTTTAATATGAGTAGCTAATTTTAGATATAAAGGTTGTGAATCCTACATGGATGTAATGTTGATGGGTGTTTATCATGGAATATATGTAAAATGGTTGATCGATTTCTATTCATTTTTCATACTTCATTTATGGTTGATGGTTGCAAACAATGACTAGTATCAATTCACTCTAACTTTACTTAGAAAAGTGGGTTAGAGTTTGGTAGAACTGAATAGCAAGAACTCAAGGCATTAAACTTTATTTAATAGAATCTCTTAGGGATAAGTGGATTCTACTTGCCATAAATTGGTTGGTATTAAATGTAACTCTTTTATATTTGAAAAAATCATAAATAGAAAATACAATCTAATTATTAAAAAATATTGGGTAGTCATTTAGGAATCATTTGCATATCAAAGGATCTTCCATTAGAAATATATAATATTAACACCGATAGCATTACATTCCATTGATGGAGACACAATCTTAGTTTCTAAATCAAATTAATCAAATCATCTCAACAAAATAGATTTTCTCCATAATTTACAATTACAAAATATTGTATAAACTAACGGGGTAGAATTATGGCTTAAGTAAAGTTTCACACTATTTAAATAACCTTTTCACACCTTTTACCTGTGGGATTCGACCCCAACCTAGTTGGATTGTTATATTTGACATCGACCGTCTTACACCATTTATATAGGTGTAATTTGAGTGTATCAAATTTTGGCGCCGTTGCCGGGGAATACGGTTTTGAAATTACTAACTAGTGTGTGCTTTACTTGACATCTTCTTCTATTCCACCACACTTTGCTTGTTTTGCTTGGTGTCATTAGGTAAACACGGGCGAGCCGGAAGAAGAAAATGTGTTTGTAGATATAGATGAGTATATTGAGGATACAAATGCCATTGTCACTCCAAGAGTTGATGCTGCCACCTTCAAAGTGGAACACAATCTAATCCTAATGCTAAAAGCGTAGGGGTTCTTCCGAAATTCCACCGACGATGATCCGACACAACATCTCTTAAATATTTTGGGTGTGTGTGCAATGCACAAGCAGGATCATGTCTCGGATGATGCCCTAAGGTTGAGGGTATTCAAGTACTCTCTAACTGGATAGGCAAGGCAGTGGATCCAAAATCTACCTCCTAATTCCATCCACACTTGGCCCGAACTTGTATGAGCTTTCCTAGCAAAATGATTTCCACAAAGCAAGAAGTCTAAGCTCTGGGATAAAATTTTCTTGTTCAAGCATTTACCGGGAGAGCATCTACATGAGGCATGGGATAGATTCAATCTATATTTGGTGAGGTCGCCGAATCATGGCTTTTAGATTAATATTCTATTGAAGAAGTTTTACATGGGCTTGGATCCTATGAATCAATCCATAGCCAAAAATGCAGCGGGTCCTTTATGGACAAAACATTAGCAACGATAAAATGGCCGAACATAACCAGGCTTGGCACTCGGAAGATACCATAGGTGGAATTGTATATCGTACTCCCTTCTTGACCAACATGATTAAGGAGAACCAAGAAAGAGATCAAATAATTGTCGGGCTTTCCACCAACGTCAACGTGTTGACGAAAATATTCACTGAAAGCCAAACAAAAAAGATGAATGTTGTGGGAAGATGTGTAACCCATGTCGAATGAGGAGTAAAAAGAAGCAAATTATGTCAACAATTCTCAAGGAGGATATCAAATACAATCATACAAAGGTTCAGGACAACAACACCAATGGAGGTCGAACCCACAAGGGCAAGGCAACCAACAATGGCGAAACAACCAATGTAGTTCAAATAAAGTAAATTGGAACAACAACAACAATTTTTCAAATCGGAGTTCAAACCCCTATGTTCAAACAAAGGGGCAATATTCTAACTCTCCACATTGGAAAGAAAGGTCTTCAAGTGAGTCCAAGTTGGAAAACATGCTTGAAAGAGTATTATAAAATCAGGAGAGATCCGACACTTCAATGAAGAATATGACCGAGCTTGTGGGTTCTCACACTGCATATATTCAAAAGTTGGAAATGCAAACGAGGGATCTCTCAAGAGAACAAAACCCGAAACAAAAAGACACACTCCCAAGTGATACAATTGCAAACCCAAAAGGTAATGGAAATGGTCCAACCTCTCATTGTATGGCAATCACCACTCAAAGTGGGAAACTACTTGAAGTAGAGAATGAACAAGTGGTCGAAGTGGAAGATTCTGAACAGGAAGTTGGGGCACAAGTTGAGGTGCCAAATGTTGTTGAAGTTGAAAGACTCTCGAAGAAGATGAGAACCCAAGAAGTGAACCAGGAAGAGGTTAATGAAAAGGTAATAGAGGCACCAAAAACTATAGCACCAATTCCTAGACCTCCTCCTCCTTTCCCTCGAAGGCTAACTAGAAAGGTTGATGATAGCAAACTCGAGAAGTTCTATGATATCCTAAAGAAATTATCGGTGAACATTCCATTTGTGGAAGAATTTCAAGAGATGCCAGGTTTCGCTAAGTACTTGAAGGACTTGATCACTAAAAGGAAAACCATCAAAAATGAAGTGGTGAATGTGACTCACCGGGTTACTTCCATCATTGCAACAATGGTCGTCCAAGAGAAAGAGGACCCAGGAGCCTTCACCATTCCATGCACGATTGGATTGCGTGACTTTGCACGAGTCCTTTGTTACAATGGGGCTAGCATCAACTTAATGCCCCTTGCTATATACAAGCAAGTGGGATTAGGTATTCCTAAGCCTACAAGTATGAGGTTGCAAATGGCTGACCGTTCAATAAAGTGACCGGTGGGAATAGTTGATGATGTGCTTGTAAAAGTGGGGAAATGTCTCCTCCCTGTCGACTTTGCTATTCTCGATTGTGTCGTTGATAATGAAATCAAGTTCCGAGTTAATGACGAAGAAGTTACCTTTCAATTAAGTAAGGGTATGAAATTGCCACATGCATACAAGAGTATCTCAGTCATTGATGTTGTTGGTGAGTTAGAAGATGCAGTCGAGGTAAAGATGGAAGAGGGATGCCTTGGTGAGGTTGGTCGCTATTTTGGTGAATTTTGATGGTGAGGACATGGAAGGATACGTGGAATCGGTGAATACATTGGAAGGAATAGGGTCATACACTTACACACCAAAGAAGCTTTCTCTTGACTTAGAGAATATACTCACTCCTCCCGCTAAGCCTTCAATTATCGAACCGCCACAATTTGAGCTAAAACCACTCCCACCGCACTTAAGGTATAAATTTCTTGGCTCTAATAAAACTCTACCCGAAATTGTTTCATCTTTGTTAAATGATTTGTAGGTTGACACTTAATGGAAACCTTGAGGGAGCATAGAAAGGCAATTGGTTGGACTATAGCAGATATCCGTGTAATTTCCGCTGGAATTTGTGAGCACAAGATACAATTGGAGCAAGAAAGAAAACCTAGTGTGGAACATCAACGAAGGTTAAATCCTTCCATGCAAGAGGTTGTGAAGAGAGAAATCATAAAATGGCTAGATGCCGGTGTTGTCTACCCCATTGCTGATAGTCCTTGGGTGAGTCCGGTGCAATGTGTGGTGAAGAAAGGAGCATGACTGTAATGCATAGTAACAAAATGAACTCATACCAACAAGGACGGTGACCGGGTGGAGAGTTTTCATGGACTACCGGAAGCTCAATAATGCTACATGCAAAGACCATTTCCCTATGCCTTTTATTGATCAAATGCTTGATCGGCTAGCGGGAAGGTCGTTTTATTAATTTTTTGGATGGTTATTCCAGCTATAACCAAATCAACATTTCCTTAGAGGACCAAGATAAGACGACATTCACAAATCGATATGGAACCTTTTCTTTTAGCCGGATGCCATTTGGGCTATGCAATTCCCCGGCTACGTTTCAACGATGCATGATGTCAATTTTATCAGAAATGGTGGAGGATTTCTTAGAAGTATTCATGGATGACTTCTCTATAGTTGGTGATTCCATTGAGCATTTGCTTCAAAACCTTAGGCAAGTGCTCAAAAAATGCGAGGAAACAAACCTTGTGCTCAATTGGGAAAAATATCACTTTATGGTAGATAAGGGTATTGTTCTTGACCACAAAATCTTGAAGCAAGGCATAGAGGTTTATCGGGAAAAGATCGGGATCATTTCCAAGCTTCCTCCTCCCACTTCGGTAAAAGGTGTTCGGAGCTTTTTGGGGCATGCCGCTTTTTATAGGCGATTTATAAAGGATTTTTCAAAACATTGCACGTCCCATGTGCAAGCTCCTTGAAAAAGATGCTAAGTTTGAGTTCGATGAAAAGTGCCTAAAATCTTTTGAGGAATTGAAAGCAAGGATCACCACGGCACCTATTATTGTCACACCCGATTGGTCTCTTCCATTTGAACTTATGTGTGACACCAGTGGTGTGGCTATTGGATTGGTGCTTGGACTACGACATAACAAGAATCTTCATCCTTTCTACTACGCACGCAAGACACTCAATGGTGCACAACCGAATTACACAGTAACTGAGCAGGAACTGCTTGCTATTGTTTATGCTTTTGAAAAATTTCGGGCCTACTTGTTGGGATCCAAAGTGATAGTCTACACCGATCATGCGGCTCTCCGTTACCTTATGGAGAAGAAGGATGCTAAACCAAGATTGATTAGGTGGGTTCTTTTATTACAATAATTTGACTTTGAAGTCAAAGACCGGAAAGCAACAGAGAATCAAGTTGCGGCTCACTTATCTTGCCTTGAAGAGGTATGAATACCAAAAGAAGATCTTGAAATTAATGATGCCTTCCCATATGAACACTTTTTAGCAATATCTAACACCTCCACTCCTTGATATGCCGACATTGCTAAGTTCTTGGTTGGTAACTCTATCCCCGACGGATTGGAAACCTATCAAAAGAAAATGTTCTTGCGGGAATGTAGGCAATACTATTGGGAGGAACCCTTCTGTTCTTGATTTGCGCCAATAATATCATTTCGTGTTATGTTCCAGAAGATGAGATAATTCAAATTCTCAAAGCATGTCATGACTCCCAAGTTGGAGGTCACCACGATGGAAATAGTACTGCGGAAAAAGTGCCTGAATGTGGCTATTTTTTTTTTTTGTTAAGACTTTAATCCCTCAAGAAAATTGTCTAGGAGATCCATCATCGGAAAAAGTCCAATTGTTTAAAAAAATCATTTTTTCTGATTTTTCACATTAAAAAAAATTAAGCTACTAAAACTACTACTATAATACTACACAACTACAGAAATAAAAATAAGAAGCTAAAATCAAAATAAGAAGTTAATATTTTTACTAACATACTACTACTAATTATCTAAAGGAATTCTCCATCCCACACTTAAAAGAGTGCAGTGTCCCCAATGCACAAATAAAGAAAAAATAACAAGGGTGGATAAGAAACTCCCTTAAAGGCCAAAGGCCGAAGCAATAGCAGCTCACGGGGTACTCAGACTTCTCCCACGGATGGTCCTTTATGCGGGTACCTCACACTAGTTCCAATAATCTAGCTTGCTTTTGCACATTTCCAATGGCTTTCTTCCTATGCTCATAATCCTACAAAATAAAGCAACACAGATGTCATCTACAAATGTCATGTTGATGAGAGAACTACGAACACACTAAAAGAAAAATTAAATTGTTATAAAAATAAAAATATTTACAAAAAGAAAAAAATAAAATCTGTAAAGATAAAAGTAAAAGTCTAATCTAGAAAAATAGCTAATTCTAAATCCCGGCAACGGCGCCAAAAATTTGTTGCGGCCAAATGCACACACAAGTATACGCGGTCGTCAAGTAATAAAGTGATAAGATAGAGTGTCGAACTCATGAGGACTTGTTATCAACTATCTAAACAAGAATTGAACCCAAGATTAGTGATGCTAAAGTAATTAAACTAAAAAAAATAAATAATGAACTCTGAACAAAGGAAGAACGGATTTTTATGTTATCAATGTAATGAAAATGATCCAGGGTTATGGGCTATCTAACATTCCTATTGTATTCTTCAATTGAATTGACTAACTAATTCATCTAGCTTTATTGGTTGACATAGTTAATATTTCTCATAAGAATCTGTCTAGTTATTACTCACATATTCAAGCTAACCTAATGCCTATATGTCTATGGAGTTAGAACTAGAAAGAACACATTTATAATTCCTGTATATCAACCAAGCAAGGCAATTAGGTATATGTCTATCCTAACCGCGAATCCGTTCCCCGATTCTCGGGTTCAAGAACTTGCTCTACTCAATCCTATATGCAACCTAGATTTCCCACTTTCGAGTTCAACTCTAGATTCGTAGATAGTACTGAATTGGAGATCAAGCAATCAAATAATTAAGCGAAAGATTGAATAAATAAACCAATATGATAAATAAGAAATCAAAATCAATATTCAAATAACATCAGTCGTGAAAGAACCATAGTGGATGTATCAAAATAATCATCCACAAGTCTTGCCTTAATTATTTAACTGGAGAGTATGTATCAAAATAATCAAGACCTTCTCGCTGTCTATACCCTTTTACTATAAGTCTTGCCTTATATTTATCAATAGTGACATAATTTTTCATTTTCCTCTTAAAAGTCCATTTAGAACCCAAAGGTTTATTTCCAGGAGGAAGATCAACCAATTCCCATGTATGGTTGATCAATATGGATTCTATTTCACTATTGACTGTCTCTTTCCAAAACAATGATTCCGAAGAAGACATAGCTTCTTTAAATGTTCGAGGCTCATTTTTCAATAAGAAAGTCACAAAATCTGGTCCAAATGAAGTAGACGTTCTTTGACGTTTACTACGTCTTGGATTCTCCTGATTACATGTACTTTCTTTTGTTTCTTCCCGAGGTCGTTTAGATCCTTCACCAAACGACTCACATT